TTTAGCTTTGTTTGACCAGAAAATGATGCTTGCAAGGGCAGCTCTTTAGCAAATTTTGAGCTGAGGGACTTTTGGCAAGAGACGGACTCCACCCCACAAGACCTGGAAAGGGTGAATTTGAGGCGAGGCTTCCTTTTATGTGCATTGCAAGTGGAGAGTTGCAGATATTTATTTATTTATTTTTATTTATTTATTTATGAGACTTATATACCGCTTTAAGTGCAAGCACTCTCTAAGCGGTGTACACCAGTAAGCAATGTATATATATATATATATATTTACATTGCCCCCAACAATCTGGGTCCTCATTTTACCTACCCCGGAAGGATGGGAGGCTGAGTCAACCTTGAGCCAGTGAGATTTGAACCGCTGACCTGTTGAACACAGTCAGCTAAAGTGGCCTGCAGTACTGCACTCTGACTGCTGCGCCACCTCGGCTCGGATATTTCACAAAAGGAGAAATGTTAAATGTCGTACAAGCAGCAGCTGTGTAGAAATGTGACATACTTATCCTGAATTCTTTTCTTTCTTTCTTTCCTTCCTTTCTTTCCTCCCTCCTTCCCTCCCTCCCTACCTTCCCTTCTTCCTTCCTCCCATCCCTTTTCCTTCTCTCCGTCCTTCCTCCCTCCCTCCCTGCCCTTCTTTCATTCCTTCCCCAGTTTTTGAAGAACCAGAAGATCCTGGGAGCCGTTCCTTTTTCTCAGAAATTATTTCTTCGGTGTCCGATGTAAAATTCAGCCACAGTGGGCGCTACTTGCTAGCGAGGGATTACCTCACTGTCAAAGTTTGGGATCTGAATATGGAAACGAAGCCTATAGAAATGTATCAGGTATTTCTCCGTCTTTTTATGTACCCAACCGCGCAAGTGATGCGACTGGCTATGTGTTAACTCCGTCATTGTGCCAAAGAGGTCTGTCCACACGAGGAATATTCGGTCACAGAGGGGCTGGGATGTGGGCTGCTCTTTTTCACCCAGCCCACCCACCCCGGGAGGCCCTCTTGGCCTGACTGAAGCAAGGGAAGAGCATGTTACTAACTCAACAACCGCAGTGATTCGCTTAACAAATGTTGCAAGGAAAGTCGTAAACTGGGACGAAGCTCGCTTAACAAACTTCTCACTTAGCAACACAAATTCTTTTGTGTTCTTTGAAGAGTTTCATCTGTCGGAACCGTGACATGTCGGACCAGTCATTGGCCTGACCAGCGGGGACCCTGTCTGGCATTGGGGCTCCTGAGCCTCAGTTGATAAGTGGGTTCCAGAGATGCCGTATGGCATATAATTTGTCCTTCTCAGTAATCGGGGTGTGTGTGTGTGTGTGTGTGTGTGTGTGTGTGTGTGTGTGTGTGTGAATGCAAAGTGGTTGGAACACCCAGCAAAGTACAGTAAGTGGCTAGCTGAACTAATGAACGCAATCTTGAATCAACCCCTAAAACAAGATTTCAGAAGGCGGGGTTTGATAATTAGAAACACAGGTACCCAATCAGAAATCGATGAACAATTAAGGATCACTGATGATTTACCCTTAGAACAGAACTTATCTTAGAATAGAATCCACTGGAATTAGGTGGCCCATCAATTGAAGTAAATAAGAATAATATTTTAAAAAACAAAAAACAAAACACACACCGTCGGAAATAGAATCCCTGCTCAACATTGTCTGTATACGCAAGCAAAGATATTGCAATGGAATTTGGACTGGCATGTTGGGAACCGTGGCTGTAAGGGCTACGGATAAATAGTCTGACCTCGGATAATGGCCTTCTTCTTTTCTGCACCCAACAGATTCATGATTACCTTAGAAGCAAGTTGTGTTCTCTCTCCGAAAACGACTGCATCTTTGACAAATTTGAATGTGCGTGGAACGGGTCCGACAGGTAATAGCGATAGCACTTAGACTTATATATTGCTTCAGTGTTTTGCAGCCTTCTCTAAGTGGCTTACAGAGTCAGCCTGTTGCCCCCACAACAATCTGGGTCCTCATTTGACTGACCTTGAGAGGATGGAAGGCTGAGTCAACCTTGAACTGGTCAGGATTGAACTGTTGGCAGTGGACAGAGTCAGCCTGCAATACCGCATTCTAACCACTGTGTGCCACCACGGCTCTGTAATGCCTGTATAGATGGCACATTTAATGTCTGTCAATCACTCATCTGCCACTTGCCAGCTGTTCTTTGGCCCAACCAGGAAGTGTCTTTGCTTGGTTCCTACTAGCCACCTTTGAAAAGCTGCTGGACCTGAGTTACCGGCTGGCTAAAGGACAGCGGCCAAGTGGCAGATGAGTGATTGACAGTCCCTCTAAGAACACGTGCAGGGTTACCTCCACAGCAAAAAAAAAAAAGGACTTGGAAGAAAGAAAGAAAATACTCCATTAAAAGAAGAAAAGCTGGCCTGAAACTAACTTTCCTGGGGCCGACGATGAGACGAAGGCAACAAATCGCCTGCCATGTCCCAACCTTCAAGCAGTGGAACTCCTCAATCTGTCCTTGACTATCTCACCCTTCAAAGTGGGCCTCAGTTCCCATGCATGGTGGTGGCATCAAAGCCTGCTTTCTTTGCTGCGTGGGGGCTGGGTCCTCGGAGGAAGGGGCGCTGCACAACCAGGCCAGCAAAGTGCAGCTTCCATGTTCATTCTGGGGAGGGGACTTCATCCCTCCCCCCCTTTCATAGCTGCAACCCAAGCAGGTTGTGTGTAGGAGGACAACTTAATGCGACAGTCCTCTCTCTTCATTATGAACCTTGTAGAGTCAGCATTTTCCACCTGCAGATGTCGCGTTAATGCAAACATCATGTTGGCAGCCCTCCCACATGGGGTGTGTGAGGAATTTCCCTTCCTTCCTGGCCAGCTACTAATCTCACGGCTCTTCTTTCTTCTGCAGTGTCATCATGACCGGGGCCTACAACAACTTTTTCCGAATGTTTGACCGGAACACGAAGCGCGACGTGACTCTGGAGGCCTCCCGCGAGAACAGCAAACCCCGGGCGATCCTGAAGCCTCGCCGTGTGTGCGCCGGGGGCAAGAGGCGGAAAGACGATATCTGCGCCGACAGCCTGGACTTCACCAAAAAGATTTTGCACACAGCCTGGCATCCCACGGAAAACATCATTGCTATTGCGGCCACAAACAATCTGTACATCTTTCAAGACAAAATGAACACGGAAGTGGATTAGGATTCCTCTGGAGAGACACGGCTTTGGACACGTGACCGATACAGCTACTTGACTGACAAGAGAAAGGCCTTTATTGGGAAGTGAGCACCCTGCAGATCAATGGAGCTTACTCCCCAATGAAGGTCTGCAGCAATAAGATGTGTTGAGAGGGATGGATTATTCCATGACCCACCACCCAGTCCTTTGGCGACCACTCTATATTTTAATTCATTGCAACCGCCACACAGTCATCTCAGAATAAATTCTCCTTATGACCAGGTGGCTGGCGTCTGTTTCATTACTAATCATTTTATTCCCGTTTCTGAAAGACTCTTGGGTGTTCACAGGGTGGCTGGAAAGCCGTTCCATCCAAAGCAAGGTTGTTCAACATGGCGCTTGTGATCAGATGTCATAAGCCCAACATGATGCTGGGGTAAAGATATGGCACCTGGCTTCATCCTGTCGCCCCAGCTAGCCTTGAGGAAAAAAAACTTAAAACGAGGAAACTCTTAAAATATAATTGGTATCCTCAGTTCAGAGAGTTGGCTTGGGATGTTGGTGGCCTTCTGCAAATTTCTTGGATTTGCTGTCCTCCCAATCTCAGACAAACCCTAATAATTAGAAATAATAATAGTAATAAAGTTGGAAGGGACCTGGGAGGTCATCTAGTCCAACCCCCTGCTCAGGCAGGAAACCCTATCCCATTTCAGACAAATGGCTGTCCAGTCTCTTCTTAAAGACTTCCAGTGTTGGAGCATTCACCGCTTCTGGAGGCAGGTGGTTCCACTGGTTAATTGTTCTAACTGTCAGGAAGTTTCTCCTTAGTTCCAGGTTGCTTCTCTCCTTGATTAGTTTTCACCCGTTGCTTCTTGTCCTGCCTTCAGGCGCTTTGGAGAATAGCTTGACTCCCTCTTCTTGGGGCAGCCCCTGAGATATTGGAACACTGCTATCATGTCCCCCCTTGTCCTTCCCTTCGTTAAACTAGATATACCCAATTCTAGCAACCATTCCTTATATGGTGTCGTGTCTCTCCCCCTCTATTGAGAGGGTAGTTCTAGGTTGCTTCTCTCCTTGATGAGTTTCCACCCGTTGCTTCTTGTCCTGCCTTCAGGCGCTTTGGAGAATAACTTGACTCCCTCTTCTTTGGGGCAGCCCCTGAGATATTGGAACACTGCTATCGTGTCCCCCCTCGTCCTTCTCTTCATTAAACTAGACATACCCAATTCCAGCAACCGTTCCTTATATGTTTTAGCCTCCAGTCCCCTGATCCTCTTTGTTGCTCTTCTCTGCACTCTTTCTAGAGTCTCAACATCTGTTTTACATCCTGGTGACCAAAACTGGATGCCGTATTCCAAGTGTGGCCTTCCCAAGGCCTTGTAAAGTGGCATTAACACTTCAGGTGACCTTGATTCTATCCCTCTGTTAATGCAGCCCAGCACTATGTTGGCTTTTTTGGCAGCTGCAGCACATGGCTGGCTCCTATTTAAGTGATTGTCCACTAGGACTCCAAGGTCCCTCTCACAATTACTACTATTGAGCAAGGTACCCCCTATACTATACCTGTGCATTTGATTTTTCTTGCCTAAATATAGAACCTTACTTTGATGAATAATTGAATAATGGTGAATAACTGGGCAAGGCTCTCTCTTTATTTAAACTAGGCTAATGAAAGACAGAAGGAGCGAGCGAGAAGGACCCGTTAACCCAGAACGGAGGACAATTTACTTGACCCCAAAGAATGGGGAGGCGTGCTACAAAATCTTCAGTGGCTATTCCAAACCTGATGCGGCATTGTGTACGTTAACATACTACATGCATATGAGGAAAGTGGGTATAAAAAAAGCCCGGCAAAATGTGTCATGTTTTTTAATCCGTATTTTATGCTTGTGATCAGAAGGACAGATTCATCTCCGGATGCTCAGTACCATTTCCAGAGTGAAGCACTCATGCTTATTGCTTAAACCATTTCCTTTCCTCCTTCCTTCGGGAGGGAAAAAAAATGAGGGCCCCCTCCCTCAGAAAAACCACCCAGTCGTACCGCTGAATTAGCTGAAGTCTGTTTGCAGAATTTAATTATCGGCAGAGAATTTATTCCTTCTAGAGCAGGGGTCTTCAAACTTGGCCCTTTTATCACTTATGGACTTCAACTCCCAGCATTGCTGGCTGAGGAATTCTGGGAGTTGAAGTCCACAAGTCATAAAAGGGCCAAGTTTGAAGACCCCCGCCCTAGAGTACGGTTCTCTGCAGTCCTTGGGGAGAGCAGAGAGAGATCAAAAGCTCATGTCCACATCAACGTGCTTGTCTCATGGCGCCTGGCCCAAGTCGTAAATTGGAGCATGTGTGCCCAGGCGTCGTCATCACGCACCCTCGGTTTTGACATTATTGTGACTGTTACAGCTGCGAATTTGGAATAAAGTTCACGTTAACTACTGAGTATACATAGAAGGCAAAGTTGTATTGGTTTTTTTGGCATCTCTGCTTTGATAGGTTAGTTCTTTAGAAAACCCTTTCAACACGCAGCTGGGCGTTTTTTCTAAATATAATCGTGCAATGCAGAAAAAGATTAGGGCCGCATGACGTACCGTGCTAAAGGCCATTAAATCAGATTGTGACAGCCAAAAGAGTGTGTCGGAGCGGGTGTTACCCCCAGAGGTGTGTATTAGGCAATGTACAGAAAAGGGGAGAACAAAAAATTGAAGACGAATCTGAACGCTGTCTGAACGGTGTTCCGCCAGTCGTGTTCCACTTTGACGTGCCGGCCTGCCGGGGAGAGCTTTGACGGGCAGTTGAGGCAGGAGAGGGCCTTCAGCTCAAAGACCGGCCACTTGCTTCCCAGACGGCCCTCCAGGATGGTGCTGAACTCAACCAGGCTGCCCTGTCTCAAGTTCAACAGCACGTGCTTGAATTCATTGCTGGCCTTCAGCACGATGTCCTTGGTTATGTCATCGTCCTCCGGGGTCCGGTTGCCGTTCCCACCACTCAGGGGCATGCCTACCGTTATTTCAAATTTATACCGGTCAAACCTCTTGATGTGACAGTTGTGCTTGCTCAAGTACTTCAGCCGGCACAGTTCTTCCTCCTCCAGGGTGGTGTTTCTGGGGTCGCAGTCGGGATACGTCTCTCCGTACAAGCATCTGAGCCAGTCCCCGAGAAAAAAGGGAAGCATATTTATGGCGGACTCGGCGCTATTCTCAATGCTGGTCACTCGGACGTACTTGAATCGCCCTGTCCAGGTCACCCGGTGGCCTTCCAGATGACTGCATAAAATCTGAGTTCGCGCCATGTTGGTTTCCTTCCAAGCCCGGGGCCCACAGACGAACCCGTACTGATTCCACGTCAACGTCGAGTTGTACACCTTCATCCCCTCCGAGCGATAGACGTAAAACCAGCAGAAGAGCACAATGGCAGACAGCCACACCAGAATAAGCTTCACAATTGAACTCCTGGTAAGCGACTTCACCATTTCGACGGCAGAGACTCGGGCCCGCGTGCAGAAGTGGAAGAGCAAAGGAACCCCGCAGAGGAGAAGGGTGACCGCAACCTTGGTCAGCTCCAACGTGACCAGCCATCGTAGGAAGTGGAAAAGACACATCAGCGCAACGCCCAACATCAACACCGGAAGGGCAAACAGGAATAAAAAGTAGCCCACTGAAGCCCGAAGGAGACCAAGGCCGGTGGATTCATGAAGAATCACAATGAAGAGTTCATACCACATGAAGCAGACCAAGTAAGGAATCAGGTAGCAATAGATGCCCTTAAAGTTCTTCAGCCGGGCCATGCAATAGAAAAGGTAAAACAAGTACAGGTACAAGAGGCAAGGGATGCTGAGGTTCAGCACCAGAAGGCTGCCGAGGGGCTGACTGTAAAATGTTTTACCCAGGAGCTTCACGTAACCCCAGTGGTCGGGGGCCCCCCGCAGTAGGCAGAGGGCCCCCGCAGTCACCTCGGTCAACATGGCCCTTCGTGTGTAGTGCTCCACGCTGGTGCCCAAGCTCATATAACTTGTCACCATGAAGAAACCGGAAACGGTGGCCAGTTCGGAGCAGGGCATCCATTCCTTGCTGGCTATCGGGAAGGAGAAGACGACGAAGAGGACCGAGAGCAGGAAGTGGAAATAGGGCTCCAGGTGATTCCAGCCAAAATTCGCCTCCGCCTCTTCGACATCCAGGTCCGGCTCGAAGCGAAGGAGCAGGTTGGTGAGGGTGCGGAAGTTCTCCCACGCTTTGCTATCCTGGAAGACTTTCAGGGTGCAAATCACCATGGAGACGAAAGACAGGTAGAACACCAGCAGGGGGATGAAGAAGGCAAAGAAGTCAATGGTCAGGTTGCTGAGGATGAAGAAGAAGACCAGGGCGTTGATCTGGTGGGTGGGAACGATGGTGGACAGCCAATGCATGCCGGCTTTGGAGGCCACCTCTATCATGTGCTCTTTGATCTCCATGATGGCGTAAAGGGGATACTTGATGATCTGGAAAGAGAGGCCGTGCGCGGGTCATCCCAAACAGCAGAGATGACCAAATCGACCCCCGAGCTGTCGTGATAGGGCCCTTTTGGATGAAACTGGTGGGCTGACTAGGATAGGAAACAAACCAAGTTCCTAAACAACACCTGTCAAGGCCCTGTTTTGTCCCTTCAGACACATAACGTGCTGGAAGTGACTGCAAAGGTATCCTCCAAGTGGACAGAGGGGCCCAGCTGCACCTGTTTACTCCAGTGGCCAGCCACAGGAGGTCAGAAAGAGCCCAGCTGGGTCGACCTGCCCCCAAGGCCCACCCACTCTAATTGGATGCCTAGCCAAGGTTGGAAGTGTGTCTGAACTGGTACACAGATCTCTGGGGGCTGCCCGGGGGCTGAAGACCACGCTGAACCCCAACTCAGTGACCAATGGGCTGAATTTCAACTAAGCAAGTTGTTCTCTCCCCCCCCCCCATAAATAAGGATGGGGAGGAGGGCGGGAAGTCTCGAGAAGCGGAATGGGACAACTCTCCATGGCCAACTCTCTGTGGGACAATTTAACAGTTCAAGTATTAAAATAAATATATATTTTTAAATTTTTGTTGTTCACGTTTCATTTTGTCCCTCCTTTTCCACCTGTTCTTTAATTATTCTATTCTATTCTATTCTATTCTATTCTATTCTATTCTATTCTATTCTATTCTATTCTATTCTATTCTATTCTTTCTCCTGTTTTATTCTATTCTATTCTACTCTGTTTCTCATTATTCTATTCTATTCTATTCTATTCTACTCTGTTTCTCATTATTCTATTCTATTCTATTCTACTCTGTTTCTCATTATTCTATTCTATTCTATTCTATTCTGCTCTGTTCTATTCTGCATTTTTCTATTCTATTCTGTTCTGTTCTATTTCATTCCCATTCTATATTCTATTCTTTTCTTTTCTATTCTATCCTATCCTATCCTATTCTATTCCATTCCCATTCTATATTCTATTCTATTCTATTCTATTCTATTCTATTCTATTCCATTCCATTCCCATTCTATATTCTATTCTATCCTATCCTATCCTATCCTATCCTATCCTATCCTATCCTATCCTATCCTATTCCATTCCCATTCTATATTCTATTCTATTCTATTCTATTCTATTCTATTCTATTCTATTCTATTCTATTCTATTCTATTCTATTCTATTCTATTCTATTCTATCCCATTCCCATTCTATATTCCATTCTATATTCTATTCTATTCTATTCTATTCTATTCTATTCTATTCTATTCTATTCTATTCTATTCTATTCTATTCTATTCTATTCTATTCTATCCTATCCTATCCTATCCTATCCGATCCTATCCTATTGTTCCACCATCTGGTAAATTGTCCTGCAGCGCGTTGGCCGTGGTCAGTGGTGGGATTCAAATAGGTGAACAACCAGTTCTCCGTGTGGATGCCACTTCCGGAAGTCCATTCTGGGCCTGGGCAACAAAAAATTAGCTAATTGGTTCTGCCGAACTGGTGCAAACTGGCTGAATCCCACCACTGCTTGTAGTGAGTTGGCCGTGGCGAGCTGGCCATGCCAAATCGTCACAGACCCCTCGAGAAGACCCCCTCTCCTTTGGCTTGGGCCCTTGCATCCTCACAGCCTCCACCCCTGAGGCTGGACGGTCCCAGTGCCCCCACCGCCTAGGATCTGAAACTGCGCCTTCTGGAGACTCTCTCCGATGAAGGCACTCTGTGGCCCACCTGGTCCACGCTTGCAACGCTCTCCCTCCTTGGGGGCTGCTCTCCACCTCCTCCACCCTCCCCGAGCAAATTGGAGGGGGCACATTTGGCATCGAAGCCCCCCCCCATTCACCTTCTGTCGTAGGGGGAGGTCTTCGGGGCTCTTTCCCGTCAGCTCATCGTCATCGTCGTCCTCCTGAGGGACCATACTTGGCGGGATGAATCCCTTGGCGAACTTCTTGGTTATTTCAACGAAGTCGTCCAAGGCCATGTAATTCTTGGCTGAGAGCGTTCAAGAGGCGGAAATTTAGACGGTTGCGTTTGTTTGCAAGAGAAAAAAGACCACAATGGTTTATTCTGGCAAAGATGCATTTGTCGGTAAGGATGCCCAGTTTTGGGTTGTAAAAACTAAGAGGCCCGAATGCACAAAGTGAATCCAGGCTGCCAGGCTGGTTTTTTTTGTGCCAGTCCAGTTTCACTTGGCACCACAAAGTGCTAACACAGGGAGGGGTGGGAAATGTTGATTTATGACTACACTTTGTGTGCCTGTCGCAGCTGAAAATGACGCCCGGTGGCTGATATATTTTAAGAGGCTGGGGGTTTCCCACCCAGAGTGGCACAAAGGGTTTTGCCAAGCAGACAGTGACTCCACCTGTGGGGGCAACCCTCAGCTCAGCCCCTCTTCCCCCTCCCCCCCCCAGGGCTAAGGCATCCCCTGGCCTTTCTCCTCTGGCTCTGGAGGATTCACCAGTTCTTTGGAAGATTCTGATTTCTAAAAAAATGAAATGCACAGAATTGTCACCCCAAATAATCAAGGCAGCTGTCACTGGAGGCAGGGGTTTCTTAGCCTTTTTCTCCAAAACAAGCAAAAAGATGGCACACACACACAAAAAAAACAGCCATGGAATCATTGCATGAGCTTTCTTAGAACTTCCTCCATTTCTTTTTTCTTTTCTTTTCTTTTTTCTTTTCTTTTCCATTCCATTCCATTCCCTATTCTATACTATTCTATATGATTCTATTCCATTCTACACTATTCTACATTATTCTATTCTATTCTATTCTATTCTATTCTATTCCATTCCATTCCATTCCATTTTCTATTCTATTCTATTCCATTCCATTTTCTATTCCATTCCATTCCATTCCATTTTCTACTCTATTCTATTTTACTCTATTCTATATATTCTATTCTATTCCATTCCATTCCATTCTATTTCATTTTCTATTCTATTCCATTTTCTATTGTATTCTATTCTATTGTATTGTATTCCATTCCATTCCATTCCATATTCTATTCTATTCTATTCTATTCTATTCTATTCTATTCTATTCTATTCTATTCTATTCTATTCTATTCTATTCTATTCCTTTCCATTCTATTCCTTTCTGTTCCATTCCGTTCCATTCCATTCCATTCTATTCTATTCCTGTTCTGTTCTATTGTTCTGTTCCGTTCCGTTACATTCTATATTCTATTCTAATTCCTAATTCTAATTCTAATTCTAATTCCTAATTCTAATTCCATTCCATTCCATTCCATCCTATCCTATCATATATCCAACCATATCGTACCATATCATATCATTTCATTTCTGCAACATTTATAACTAACACATACACACACACAGAGCTATTTTTTTAAGAACTGTGGTTTCTCTGTGGCTCACTGTTCTGCCCACCCCAAATCCTTTCCCTCGGGGGCTCTCCGGCTTTGTCCCAAAGAAGCTAGAATGAATTTGGCTCCTCCTATTCAGAGGAGGAAGGTGGCAGCTGGGTCAAAAGAGGGGAAGATCCGTCCCACCCAGGCGGCCCTCCCTACCTTCGCTGCTGACCAGTCTCTCCAGCATCCTTCTTTGCTTCTGGACGGTCTTTGGAAGCGGCCCCGGGCGCTGGTCTCCCTGCCCTGTTCTCGGAAACACAGATGGGCATGAAGAGTTTGAAGGGGAAGCGGGACACAAAGGGTTAAAACAAAGGAATAGCACCCCTCACAAGGAAGCCCCCCCTCCTTCCCCAGGGCCAGGAACCCCCCCGAGGTCCTCTAAGCCAGCGTGTCTCAGCCTGCAACGAACGGAACCAAAGAAGGATTAAAGGGAAGAAGCTGTTTGGGTGAGGAAAAAAAGATACAGACCCTGGCTGTCCACTTCGCCGACATTTTCTAACAGTTCTGAAACAGCCAGTTCCTTTTTCTTCTTTGGATTTAACTTCCAGTAGATGATCAAGGCCGCTTTTCTGACCGCTCTTTCCAGATCAGTCTCGGACAACAGTCGCTTCACCTCTGGCATGTTTTCCAAAGTGATGCCTCAGGAAGAGAGGGGGAAATGGCAAATGTTAGATTTGACACACACACACACATACACACACACAAAACCAGTTACAAAACCTCGGAGCAGAACGGCTGGTTCTAGGTTCCTTCGAGAATCTCAGAAGTCCCTCTCTTGTTTACATTCTGGGGAACTTTCCCCATTTCCTCCTCCCAAAGATTTTCAACCGTGAATCTCAACAAGATGGTAGGAGGGAGAAAGGGGAGGGGAAGACGGGGTCTCAGCATAGGGATCAGTCAGACCCATCTTCCCCCCCTGCCCCATCACATCGGTCTGTTCTACCTGGTCAGGCAGGGCAGGGGTGCTGTGGACCCCGCCAGTTGAAGAATTCCCACTGGCAAGTCCCCGGATGAGAGCCTTCTCTGGTGTTGCCCCACTATGTGGAATACTCCCCCCCCTCTGTTGGAGGGAAGACGGACCCTCACTCACCTGGCCTTCTGGAAAGAGATTAAAACGTGGCTCCCTGCTTGCGGCTCACACAGAAGCCACTGTGGGGCTGGTTAGCACCCTGAAAGCCCCCCCTGTCACTTTTTAGTTAACTTTTAACATTGGCTTTTAAAATCTTATATACCGTATTTATGTTTTATTTGTATACCACACAGAGTCCCTCTGTAAGAGGAGATGGGTGGTCCCAAAATTAGATGGATGGATGGATGGAAAGAGAGAGCGAGAAAGATGGATGGATGATAGGAAATAGATAGATAGATAGATAGATAGATAGATAGATAGATAGATATAGATAGATAGATATACAGAGACAGATAGAGATACAGAGATGGACGGATGATAGGAGATAGATACATTAGTGGCCAAAATTGTGGAAACCTGTTGGGAAAAGTGTATCATAGAAATGCCACCTTGGGTTAAGTTTCCACCCATTTTTTTCTTCTAATTTCTTTATAACTGTAGCCTTGTTCACTTAATAAATACTATTTTACATCGCTTTCTGGGCGACCGGTCAACTCTTTGCACCATTACTTTAATTTTATTACGTTTTACAAGCTCACTGAATGAAAGAACACAAAAAAAAACCCAGCCAACTTGATAGCGATCACAATAACACCCTGACAAAGGTCCTCCTCTCAGCTTCAATACAGGACATCAATAACTGGATCCTACTGTGATCTGACTGGCTCATTTTCAAAACACCCGATTGGCTCTCTAAACACTCACACTCATTGGCTACAATCAGGTGAAGGAAAACTACCTGAGATCAACCTAAGCAAGTTGTGCTTCCTTTTTCTGGTTATTCGGCTATTACTTTTCATAGAATGCAGGACAGATCATTGAACAAACTTTGTTGCATGACATTCTTGATTAAATTATCTTTCCATTGACATATAATTTGATGGTACTATTCCCCCAAAAAAGTGTTATTAGCCATCAAACCTCAAAAATACACTTTTCCCAAAAGGTTTCCACAATTTTGGCCACTAATGTAGATAGAGATGATGATGATGATGATGATGATGATGGAGTCAGGGACCAGCTGCATTCGGGGAAAGCATGCTTCTACCTTTTCCTTCTGCCAAACAACTTTGCAGCATTTTGAGGGCTTCCTTCTGCCCCTGTTTGGCAGCTGGGATCAACCACTCCACTGCACTGCAGCTGTTCAGCTCCTCGTCCTGGTCTTCGGCCAGCTTCAAGTAGCACCTCCCCACCTGTGGAAAGCAGAAATCTCTCTTCACCAGGCCGGCCTGAGGCCCCCCCCCCTCGCCCTGACCGACAGCCCAGCAACGCTCCCATCGCAGCACCAGCAAGATCACCAGTTGAGCTGATGGCTTGCACACTGACAAATCTGTTGTGTGAATTGTCCTTTTCATATCCAGGGAGATTTGGGTCACTTTTTAGATGATCACCTTGTGGTTTATATATACGCCGAGAGCTTCAGCCCCGGAGACAAATTTCTTGTGTGTCCAATCACACTTGGCCAATAAAGAATTTCTATTCTATTCCATTCATATTCTTCCTATTCCATTGCATTCTATTCTATTCTATTCCTCCATTCTATTCTGTTCTATTCTATTCTGCATTCTATTCTATTCTGAATTCTATTCTATTCTATTTTGCATTCTATTCTGCATTCTATTCTATTCTGCATTCTATTCTATTCTATTCTGAATTCTATTCTATTTTGCATTCTATTCTGCATTCTATTCTATTCTATTTTGCATTCTATTCTATTTTGCATTCTATTCTGCATTCTATTCTATTCTATTCTATTCTGCATTCTATTCTATTCTATTCTATTCTATTCTATTCTGAATTCTATTCTATTCTATTTTGCATTCTATTCTGCATTCTATTCTATTCTATTCTGCATTCTATTCTATTCTATTTTGCATTCTATTCTATTCTGCATTCTATTCTATTCTATTCTATTCTATTCTATTCTATTCTATTCTATTCTATTCTATTCCTATTCCATTCTTATTCTTATTCTATTTCTATTCTGTATTATTTCCTTAAAATGATGAATTAAAAAAGGCAACAAAGCATGCAACATGACCTCTGTCTGCGACTTTGGTTCTCCAGCTTTTGCTCTGGCCAACAGCTCTTCGAAACCGGAGTCTGGATCGTCCATGGTGATATCTAGAAAAGCTAGTTAAGAGAGATATTCCCGGTTTTACTCCCAGGCTGACCATCTCCCCATCACAAGGACGGGAGAGTTCTAGAATCCTGTGGGTCATAAGGAGGGCAAAGCCGACAGCTGACTCCGGTGTCAATCTGCTCAGGCCGCTGTGCCAGCCTTTGGGGAGGGCTTAGCAGCTTGTGACAGTTCTCCTTGGGTGACACTCCTCGGAAATATACAAATATTTAGCTTAGTAATTAGGGAAACAAAATAGGATAGGATAGAATAGGATAGGATAGATATTGGAATATAGGATAGAGTAGAGTAGAGTAGAGCAGAGCAGAGCAGAGCAGAGTAGAATAGAATAGGAGTAGAGTAGAATAGGATAGAATAGATATTGGAATATAGGATAGCGTAGAATAGAATAGAATAGAAGTAGAGTAGAATAGGATAGAATAAATATTGGAATATAGGATAGAGTATATATAGAATAGAATAGAATAGAATAGAATAGAATAGAATAGAATAGAATAGAACAGATATTGGAATATAGGATAGAGCATATATAGAATAGAATAGAATAGAATAGAATAGAATAGAATAGAATAGAATAGAATAGAATATAGGATAGAGTATATATAGAATAGAATAGAATAGAATAGAATAGAATAGAATAGAATAGAATAGAATATAGGATAGAGTATATATAAAATAGAATAGAATAGAATAGAGAATAGAACAGAACGGAACGGAACGGAACAGGACAGGACAGGACAGGATAGAACAGAATAGAATAAGAACTTTATTGTCAGTTTGAATGTACACTAATCGGCATATATTAAAATGAAATTTGGTTGCGTACAGCTCTCAAAGGGTCACCACAAATGGAGGGAAGGGGAGCAAGCATCACTAAAAGTTGTTATGAGGGCTTTTTAAAAAAAAAAAAAAAAAAACTTCCGGGGGGGGTGTTTCAATTTTTCTGGTGGTGGCCTTCAGCTTCTGCTGTTTTTGTCCCTGGGCCCCCCGGGTGGGTGCAAGGGGGCCTGGAAGGGATTGAAAAGGGTTCAACCCAGGGTTTAAAAGTGGCGAAAGGGCCCAGCCAGAGAGTGAGGGGGAAGGGGTCACCTAGGCAAGGTCTGGCTACAAGAGATCCTTCAAAGAACAGGCCCAGAACTGTGTCCTTTTGTCTCGTTTCCTTCCTCCCTCTCCTTCTTCCCTCCCTCTTTCCTTCCTTCCTCTCTTCCTCCCCCCCTCTTACCTGCCTGCCTCTCTCCTTTCCTTCCTTCCTGTCCCTCCCTCCCTGTTCTTCCTCTCCTTTACCCCTTCTCTCCTTCCCTCCCTCCCTCTCCTTCCTTCCTTTCCTTGCTTCCTCTCTCCTTTCCTCCCTTCTTCCTTCCTGTGCCTCCCTCCCCTTCCTCCCTCCCTCTTTCCTTTCTTTTTCTCTCTCCTTTCCTCCCTTCTTCCTTCCTGTCCCTCCCTCCCTCTCCTTCCTCCCTCCCTCTTTCCTTTCTTTCTCTCCTTTCCTCTTCTTCCTTCCTGTCCCTCCCTCCCTCTTCTTCCTCTCCTTTCTCCCTTCTTTCCTTCCTTCCTCTCCTTTCCTCCCTTCTTCCTTCCTTCCCCTCCCTCCTTGTCCCTCCCTCCCCTTCCTTCCTCTTTCCTTTCTTTCTCTCTCCTTTCCTCCGTTCTTCCTTCCTGTCCCTCCCTCCCTCCTTTCTTCCCTCTTCCCTCCCTTTCTCTTTTATATGCCACCCATCTTGCTATATCTGAAGAGGATGCCAAGAAAACTCCACCAGAATATGCTGGCTTGGCCAAATGTGTCCTGGAGGTTTACTTTGAGTGCGTAACTCTCCCGACTGCGGGCCCTTTTAAGGTGGCTGCTTTGGGACAGGCTGCTTTCCAGCCCAGCAAACTGCCCCCCCCATCTCCCTCCCCCCCCAACCCCACTCAGCTTCTCCTTGCTAAGGGGAGCAGGGCGCCCTCCTCCCTCCCTCCCCCTGCAGAGGCATCAGCAGCTGCTCGATCCAGTCAGAGGCTGGAGGGATCGGCCCAACGGCCTGGTCATCTTTTTTAACCCCTTTTTATTTCTCTCCAATATTCAGAACTGCACCCATGGGGGGGGGCTCAGATAAGATATAAGAGATAAGAGATAGGATAGGATAGGATAGGATAGGGTAAGATATAAGATAAGATATAAGATATAAGGATAGGATAATGTATAAGATATAAGATAGGATAGGACAATATATAAGATAAGATATAGGATAGGATAGATATAAGATAAAAGATATAAGATGGGATAGGATAATATATAAGATAAGATATAGGATAGGATAAGATAGATATAAGATACAAGATATAAGATATAAGGATAGGATAATATATAATATATAGGATAGGATAAGATATAAGATAAGATATAGGATAGGATAATATATAATATAGGATAGGATAGGATAAGATAGGATATGATATGATATAATAGATAAGCTAACCTTTATTGTCATTTTTTTTACTGTGGGCACAAGGCACACACCCCAAAAATGAAATGTAGTTGCCCGCTCTCCAACTGAAACACATCCACAACCCACACCTCAACACACTATAGACAACCCGTGCGTAGACCCACACCCCTACATAACACTTTTGGGAAGCTGCAGGAATCGCTTCCTCCTTCGGGCTTCCACGCCCGCTTTCCCCCCCCCACCCCGTTGCCCCCTGGCGCTAGAGCCGGAGGAGGGTCGCCATCCGCGCCCGAAGCCTCGGCCGGATCCCAGCTGAGCTCGGCCATTCCGAGAGGGGCGGGGTGTGTGGGGGGGTTAATTCCTCGGGGTGGGGTGGGGGGCGCATGCTCGGCCTTTTCGGGGGGCGGGGGGCGCGTCAAGCCCCTGCAGCGCCGGCCTTTAGCCCCTCCCTCCCGGAAATCACAGCTCTGCAAGCCGCTCCTCGCCCTGTTTGGCCGACCCCGGGACCCCCGCCCGCTCCCCCCTTCCCCCGCCCCGCCCCGACGCAGGCGCGCGCACGGGCTTCGCGGGGACGCGCATCCAAGGCGGCGGCGGCGGGGGGGGGGGCTGCTGCGCCGGAGCCCGCCCGGAAGAGAAGCCGGGGGCGGGGACGCGCCCCCCGGCAGCGGAGAGCGACCGCCGCCCACCCTCCTTGCCTGCCTGCCTGCCTGCCTGTCCGCTGTTGCTTCCCGGCTGCCGGGCGAGGCTCCTCGGAGGCTCTCCGCCTGCCCTCGGCCCTGCTGCGCCTGCCCTGCGCGGACGGGAAGGAGGCGAGCGGGAGCCCCGGGGAGGAGTCGCGGCTGGGCGGCTCGTCCCTCTCCGGCCGGGACTGCCTTCGCCGGGCGGGACGGGGCGGGGAGACGGCGGAGCCTGGCAGCCGGGGGAGGGGGGAGCCTTCTCTCGGGGCGGGGGTCCGTCCCCTCCTCCTCCTCCTCCTCCAGGCCCCTGGGACCCCCCCCCTTCCCAAAGACCCCCGCTTCAGTCTGCCCTCCCAAGGCTCGTTTGGCAGCCGCGGCCACCTGCTGGCCGGGCTGAGTCTGGGGTCCTCCTGCGCCGCTTCCCACCTGCGCCCCGGCTTCTCTTCCCCCCCCCCCAAGTGCAAAAGTTGCATTTGACCACGCTGCACCGCGTTTGTGAACAACAACAAAAAAAAGGCAAGAAATCACGTTCGGTGTTAAAAGTTCACACTTGGAATAATCCTGCATCCAGTTATGGTCCCCACGATGTAAAAAAGATGCTGAGACTCTAGAAAGAGTGCAGAGAAGAGCAACAAAGAGGTTCAGGGGACTGGAGGCTAAAACATACAAGGAACGGTTGCTGGAATTGGGTATGTCCAGTTTAATGAAGAGAAGGACGAGGGTAGCACATCATAGCAATCTTCCAATATCTCAGGGGCTGCCCCAAAGAAGAGGGAGTCAAGCTCTTCTCCAAAGTGCCTGCAATCACCTATTTGCAAACTGCAGGAAGCCACAATGCCTCCCACCCCACAGGTGCCAGTTGCCTCGAAGTCTGAGCCTTCATCTCTGGAGTTTTATCCCTTAAAAAAACAACAACAACCCTGTGGTTTAAACCAGTGGTTCTTAACCTTTTTGAACGAATCGCCCCCTTGAGCCAATGAGGAAGTTGTCATCGCCCCCCCTCCCCCAACATCACCTCTCAATCACAACATAGGAAATAATTCTTCAATTTATGCAAACCCTTTTTTTTGTTTTCTTTAAAATTGTCATCAGGACATATCGATGCAAATAATTTATTTCCAGTCTTTTCCCCATATCTCAACTGTTTGAAAAATTTTGGTGCCACCCATCACTTTATTCCCAAACTTTGTGATACATGTATTTCGTTATTATCTTATTTATTCAAGACACTTCAATGTAATGACCACTGAAAACAAAATTCAATGGCAAGAAAGTGAAATGCCAGAAAAGAAAAAGAGTAACATTTAATGATTGAATTACAAGTGAAATTTAAGATGCAAAAAGAAATATAAAAAGGGTAGAGGCTGCTGCGCAATGCGCATGAAGATAAGCGATGCGTATTCACATATGTAGGCTGTTCTGTACTGAAGCTAGCTGGAGGAACATTTGAAAACACAATTCAATCCACTAATAGCGAGCGATCTGATGTTTTTGTACGACAGATATGCAGCTGTTCACTGTACGAAAAAGTCTCAAAAGTGTCCCCAAAACTTCTCGCTCCATCGCCCCCATATTGCCCCCTTTTCGTTCCTTCGCCCCCCTGAAAAATGAAATCACCCCCTGGGGGGCAATATCGCCCAGGTTAAGAACCACTGGTTTAAATGATTCCTACCCTGTTTCCCCAAAAATAAGCCTTAATGTGTCTTTTGGAGCAAAAGTGAATATAAGACCTGGTCTTATTTTCAGAGAAATAAGGTACGCCTTGTTGAGGTCTTGTCATTTATTTTAAACCGGCGGCTCCCGACATTTTCTATACCCCGCGTCCCTAGAACGCTTCTGATATATTCTCGCACCCCTTAACAAAAGTTCGAAACAGCGGCGATGAATTATGCACATACACTATAATTTGGAAAAGCCACGTTTTCACAACCCCCTGGAATATCGTCTCGCACCCCTCTTCTGCTCCTGGCTGGGCAGAGACCAGGCTACTGATTGATTGATTGATTGATTGATTGATTGAAATGGTACAGGTTCTCCTGCTTGAGTAGGGGGCTGGACTAGAAAACCTCCAAGGTCCCTTCCAGCTCTATTCTGATAGATAGATAGATAGATAGATAGATAGATAGATAGATAGATAGATAGATAGATTGAAATGGTACAGGGTCTCCTGCTTGAGCAGGGGGCTGGACTAGAAGACCTCCAAGGTCCCTTCCAGCTCTATTCTGATTGATAGATTGATTGAAATGGTACAGGGTCTCCTGCTTGAGCAGGGGGCTGGACTAGAAGACCTCCAAGATCCCTTCCAGCTCTATTCTGATTGATTGATTGATTGAAATGGTACAGGGTCTCCTGCTTGAGTAGGGGGGCTGGACTAGAAGACCTCCAAGGTCCCTTCCAGCTCTATTCTGATTGATTGGCTGGAGCCCTAAAGGGCTTGTGGACAGTGAGTGACAGCAAACCCTCCAATCGGCTGAAGAGAGCCGCCCACCGCAGGAGCTGTGATTGGTCGCTGGGAGAGGGAAGGGGGCGGTCCCTTGTTTCCCGCCTTTTTTTCCCTGTGGGGGCCCTGTATGCTGGGAGACTAGGCCGAAGCCTCCATGGCTAAAAATGGCGAAGGCCGCACAAAGAGAGGAGACGTTCCCTCAGGGAAAGGAACAGGGGGAACCTTTAAGGGGAGAAAAGCAGAAAAAATTGGGTCTGAGCACACGGGAAGCCCCCCGCCAAGCCTCCCCAACAAAGGAGTTGGGCCTGCATGGGAAGCCCCTTCCCGCCAAAATGGCGAAGACCGCACAAAGAGAGCAAAAGTTCCCTCAGGGAAAGGAACGTGGGGAACCTTTAAGGGGAGAAAAGGACAAAAATCCCCTTCAGCCCACTGTGGGACCTGTGTTTAATGCACAGATAGTGGTTACCAGTCCCCTCGTCACTCCCCAGAAACAATATTCCCAACCCAAAACTGCTGAAACAGGGATCCCAGAGGTTATTTGCCAACTTAGAAAAGGAACGTACAGCTAGTCCTCGACTTATGTACAACAGTTCACTTAGTGACCGTTTAAAGTTACAACGGCACTGAAAAAAAAGTGACTTAGTTCACAATAACGCCCATTGCAGCATTCACACAGTCATGTGATCAAAATTCAGATGCTTGGCAACTAGCATGTACTTACGACAGTTGAAGCGTCCTGGCGTCATGCGACCCCCTTTTGACCTGACAAGCAAAGTCAGTGGGGAAGCCAGATTCACTTAACAACCAGGTTACTAACTTATCAGCGATAGGGATTCTCTTAACGACGGTGGCGAGAAAGGTCGTAAAATGAGGCAAAACTCACTGAACAAATGTCTCACTTAACCACAGAAATTTGGGGCTCAGTTGGGGTCGTATGTCAAGGAGTACTTATATTCTAAAGTAAAGGAATGCAAGTGCTTCAGAAAAGTGTGTGTTTTACAGCCCATAAAGCACGTATGCCTGTCCCCAAAAGTTACACCGTCCTCCTTGCATGCACATGATCACAATCTGGGTGCTTGGCAACTTGTTTGCACTTACATCTGGTTGCCAAGGGCCCTGTATCACGCGGTCGCTATTTGCAATCTTCTCTGCCGGCGTCCCCAGAAAATCAGTGGGGAAGTCAGCAGGAAAGGTTGCAAGACTCCCTGTCTCCAAATCCTTTTTGGACACAACTGAGATTTTGAGATTTATCATCCCCCTTTCTAGTGCTTCATTTGTAGCAGATTGTGGTTCACACTTCCTAAACCAAACAATGGGTCTGTGCCAGGGGAGAGATTAGATGAAGCTATGATGGCTTCCTCTGCAAAAGCACTGAGTAACTGTTGCTATGTTATCTCTCATTAGGCAGCCTGCTAGTCCTCATGGGACGCTTCAAATAAACTTTCTATTCTTCCTTAGCTCAGAAGCCGTGCCCTGTGGGCATGAAGGAGCTGCAAAGAAGCACCAGGTTTTTCTTAGATGACATTGCAAAAAGTACCTTACATTATTTTTATGTACTTTTTAAGAACGCTTTGCAGAACTTTAAACCTTATGAGGTTTGGCTTAAACTGGCATAAATCCCTGGCAACATGTCTAACTCTAAAGTAACCTAATGGAATTGGTTGCATCTGATGTCCTCCAGGGCTTTGTTATTTTAGGGGAAAAAATATAGTGATTATAAACAGGGCGTGATCAGCATCGGCTCTGTCGATATGGAATTCCTATTTCTCACCTTGTATTTTTCTTTCTTCGTCTCTCTGTGTGCCCTTGTATGCTTTTATTTTTCTGGATGCCAAGAAATGACTTACAAGCATGAAGGTAAGCAGTTCTTAATTCCTGGCTGTTCCTATTCTTTTAATGCTAGATTTGCTCTTGTTTATCTCTCTTTGGCTTATTAATTAGAAGCAATGGATGATTGTGGGCCCTTTTCCATTAGACAAGTCAAATAACAGCTCCCAGGATAGCTATCTTTAGTCTTTCTTTGACGTGCAAGTCCTGCAGCAGAAAATATATGGAGTCACAGTATCAGTATTGATACCAATTCTTAGTTGTGAAATAGGAGAAAAACAACGCTGGAAAATTCTCAGGAAAGAGCTTGAAAATCTAAACAGAAATGGTCATCTTCTGATTTATGCCTTAACAATCAGTGTAATATGACCTTGAGATACATCTCAAATTGTAATGTACTTGAGATTTTCCCCCCACCGTTTTTGGGTTTTTTTTTTTTTGGCATTTTTTTAATCATGAGGTTAAAGGAAACAGCTATTTGCTCTCTTCAGGTAAAAGCAGCAGAGTGCGGTGCTTTTAAAGTGGCTGGTTTTTAAAGTGCTAGCAGTCACTCTTACATTAATGAGGCCAGATTAAAGCTTCTGGGCATCTGCTTCCTGATTTTGCTATGGGAGGGGGGGGGGATAAACCTGAAGGTACAAAGACAGATTGCAGAAACTTCCAGCAGAAAGATGGATGGATTCAGGTACAGTGGCAATGAGTTGCACAGGTGGAAAACCTAAAAACAAACAAACAAAAAACAGGGACAGATTGCCATGGAGAAAATGTAGATAGGGTAGCTAGGAGATGAAAACAATTTGATAGTAACATAATCACTCAATCATAACAGAATCTTGAAAGTTTGATTGCGCTGTATGCCCTCCTCTATCTTTATAGTTCAGTGAATTAGGGAGGTGACTG